GATTACAGAGAATCTGATGAGTGGGGGTCTGGGATATGTGACTGCTGTGATGATGTGCCTGAATGTAAGTGTCTGTGCTTATATGACGTACGTACACAGGTATTTACACCAGTACAAGTGCTGCACGACCAAATAAGTTTATGAAAGAAGTCAATCCTGCTTTAATCTGTTAATTAATATACATATTTTTCAAAGATGATTTATAAAAAGTGTTCTCTAAAAGACATCTAATAAATAAACTGCATATAAAAAGGGACATCATGTCACCACCTCCTGCCAGTATGCATAAGTTGGGACATCCATTATCTATACCGCTTATTCCTGAATAGGGTCGCGGGGGGCTGGAGCCAATCCCAGCTGACACTGGGTGAGAGGCGTGGTCCACTCTGGACAGGTTGCCAGTCTGTCTACATGTCAACCCTGTGATAAACAATCACACACACTCACACTCATTCCTACGGGCAAGTCAGAGTCACCAATCAGCCTAAGCTGCATGTCTTTGGACTGTGGGAGGAAGCCGGAGCACCTGGAGAGAACCCACGCAGACACAGGGAGAACATGCAGAATCCACACAGAAAGGCACCTCTGTCCTGCCAAAGTGAGGCCAAAATACTGCAAATATGGGCGTGGCCATCTTATATTTGTAACACATTTTGCAAGCTGCACAGTAGCGACCGGAGGTGAAGCCATGGCATCAGACCACTAATACCATACCATACCAACTTTATTTATAAAGCACTAAAACAACCAAGGTGGACCAAAGTGCTGTACATTACAATAAACAATATATATTAAAAACACAACCCACAAGCACAAACAAAATCAACACCAATATAAAATACAGCTGTCAATCATTTGAAATACACCCATTTTAAATGATCATTAATTTTTTTTAAAAACATCAAAAAAATGCCCACTTATACACAAATCGGCATGATAATATCTACCTACAGTGACAGAAATCACCTTTGGAAAAAAAATTTTTCATTTGTTTTTTAAGTTTTTAATTTGGCTCATGTGCCATCTCCTAACATGGAGGGTGGGGTTTATACTGCTACCAGCCACTAGGGGGCGGTCAACCAGTGGTGGCTTCACTTATGGGAGCTGTCATGTGTCCATCTTTATAAATCCTGCAGTCTATTCCAGTTACATAAAAATACAGGAGAAAGTTATCCGTTATCCTTTTGATTCAGTCTGTAGCTCACAACAAACCAACTTCCAACAACATTATAATAATATGGACTAGACATTGTATTACATGAAAATCAATCAAAATTATACCAATATATTTGATGTAAGAGAGGTTTATCTGTAACTGAAATCCTGACTCGATACGGTAGCACGAAACTACAGACTGGTAAAGATTTAAAACATCACAGTGTGGCACAAATCTTTCACTGGTATCTTATCATGTGCGTGTTTTTGTCTCAGTGTCTGTAGGTGCGTTTTCTCAGTATTAGTGAATTTATGTTTGTCTGTGTATTTTATCTTAAAGGCTGTTTTGCTTTTTGGTGCTGTCCCTGCTTCGCCTGTATAACCACCAAGAAATATGGGCAGTGTCTCTGTCTTCCCCTCCTGGACATCTTCGGCTGCATCCCACCCATCACCATGTCCATGAGGGTCTCCATGCGGCATCGTTATGGCATCAAAGTAATGACACACTTTTGTTGCTCGTTTTTTCTTTCACTCAG